ATCGGACTGTATATTACGCATTATTCAAAGTTATTTCAATAATCAGATACTCTATGACATAGAAAAAGTCAGGATGTAATACAAAGTCTCTGGCGTGATTCCACAGCGATCAGTTCTGGAACCGATCATGGGAACTACCTGTTAAATGCCATGTACGATGGGGTCCCGATAATAAAACTTCCCAATAAAACGATAATTGTTGAATATGCTGATATCACTGAATTTGTAGCGGTAAGCAAATGATTAACCACTTGAATGCACAATTTAATGACGCAACAGCAAAAAGGCATTGCTGGTTTAAAAATGCGGGACTGTAGTTAGCGTCTCAAAGAACAAAACAAGTACTGATAAGCACAAAAAAGCAGAAGATGAAAATAAAAAAATTGGTGATGTAATAATTTTCCGGTTCCTTAAAATTCTTTTGCTGGGGTAACCTCAGCCTCTTTCAGGGATCGCTACAATAAATTTATATTTGCGGGAACAGGACTTCTCAAATGAAAGATGTTAAATTAATTTTAAACAAGCAGAGTTTATTAAAATAATTCAAAAAAAAAATAATATATAAGTTATGAATAATTTTCAGAAAAGAAATAGAATTTAATTAGCTTCGTTGTGGCTGTGAAATATCTTGGTGACCAGAATGATGATGCATCGTGAAGTCCTTTGAAATCTATGCCCTTTGTCTTGTACTTCTCGGTATCTGCTTTGGGAAAAATATTGATGTGTCGGCTTTCCCCTAGGTCTCTTGCTGTGTGTACTCTACCCGTTTGGAGGGAAAGGGATTAGCAAACAAAAAATACATATTTGTTATGATTGCATATATATATAATAGCGTTCACGTATATGGGCTTAAAACCGCCTCTATGTGTGTAAGCAATTTTATGTATATTTCTTGTATATTATACACTTGGCTTAAAACCGCCATTGTTTGAAGACGGTTTTGATTGATTTTATTGAATTTATTGATTTAATGTTTTGACATATGATGCCACCGAGTAATATACAAAACTCACTGATATCTTACAAAAATGCTCCGTCTTATTTACGGATCAGACAAGCTTTTTTATGTGGCGCACATATAAACGTTTTCTTGCTTGTTGGTGGTGGTTTGGTTATTTTTCCGTTTGTTACGTTTCTTGCTTTTGTTCAAGTTGTACGCTTTGCAAATTTGTGATCTTCTTTTTGCGGCGAATTTTTTTGACGTTTTTGACGTTTGCAAATGTTTGTTTACATTTTTATAAAAGCGCCGGTGCTAGTGTTTTACTCGTGTAATTATTTTTAAATATAATAATAAATTATTTATAAATAAATTATTTAAATAAATTTACGTGTATTTATTATTTTATTAAAATATATCTCTCTATTTATTATAAATTTATTTTCTCCTAATTTGAGATCACTTCACGTGTTTTATTCAAAGTGATGGTGTTACTAAATTCATGTGGGTTGAAAATTTCTACAAAATTTCCATCCTTTACAGTGGTATAAAATATTGTCATATGAAACAATAAAATGCCCAGAACACATGATCGATGTAAGACAATGGATTATGCAAAAAAACAAGCCACTATTATAACAGACAAAGCGTGATTCTAACAACAGATCAAAAATTTGGCGGACGCTTGTGTTCACTTAGCGAATAGCAGCAAAGCTGGAAGCAATCTTTTCCAACTATCAAAAATAGGTGAAAAGAAAACGTGTTGGTATCTGAATGTCCCAGATATTTAACTTTAAAAAAAAAATCAAGAACTCAAGCATGAAATGCACTCAAGTAGTCTCAAATGGATTGCATTAAGAACGTTCGCAACTCAAATTAGCGGCACCTTTGATACGTTAAGAGCAATGCGAAGTGCTATCACAATTCCTATACTCAGGAAGGACACATCCAAAGGACACAGGCGGAAAAATGTGGTATATAGACTAATAGACGTTTACACCTTAGACTAAGACAATACTTTATAGTATTGAGAGTAGTTCAGCTTCTTATATTTCCGTTAAAGTGTAAACCGTGCTTTTGTGAAGACTTTTTATTTGAAACTGCTCTTCTAAAGAGGAGTCCGATTTTTGTGATGCTGATGCGCTTATTTTATTGCAGGGTTTATAAATAACAATCATTTTTCGAAATATAAACAAACTGAACAAGTCAGTAACCCCTATTCAAGGAAAAAATGCTGATTTTGGGTTTGAAAATTATTAAGTGTGTATAAATGACTTTGAAAAGTCAAATTGTCCTTGTCCACTGTTTTCCTTGTCACCAAGGACAATTTCCTAATCCAATGTTTTCCAATTTCCCTAACAGTTTTATATAGAAAAATTTTACATTCCATTTTCTGTCATAGTAAAGTTCTCGTCTATTAGTTTTTTGTTAAAATGCCAGATTTATAACATACAAATTTCAACTAATTTTTTTTCAAGGTAAAGGTTTACAGCATTTTTTAAAATTAGTTATGTGAAATTCAGATGAAGAAAGATTCATGTCATTAACACATTAAGTCATTAGTCGAACAAAGACTTCAGGCCCGTAAGCCCATCTCCAATTTAAAACAATGGAGATGGAGTAAAAAAATATATTCCAATTTATTCAAAATCAGAATCATTTGTTTGCAAATTAAAATTCAGAATTTTAGATAAGTCTTGAATGAGTCCTCACCAAAACTTCATCATCACTTTCCGTTGCGCTTAGAATTGGATCCACTAATTCAGAGCTATAATGCTTTATAATATCATCATCTGTAGGAAATTAATTCACAGTCTTCATCAATGTTATTCAAGAAAACTAAAGGAATATGTCGTCCTCTTCGTCCCTTATAGAAAATTGGTCAAATCCCGCTTTTTTAAAGCAGTGCGTTATCGTTTGACTATTTACATCAAAATCTCGAGCTTTCGTTACATGATTTATACAATCCATAAGTGTAATATCCTACTTTTTGCTTGCTTTTTACGCTTTAACGTTTCCTTTACGATTCTGTTGCGATAGTTACACTTTAAATTTTGAATTACTTCTTGATCAATCAATTTAGAGGTTATATTCGGCTGAAGAAATACCAATTTTATACATTTGCATTTGCACAGCGACTCGCATTTGCACAAAGAAGCAACAGAAGAAAGGAAGAATTAAACATTTGGTTTGGAAAAAGGGACACCAAAATGGATTCATACTTAAAACAAAAATTCGAAGAATAGAATCCACTTTCTCATATTCCTATTGGCACGTGACAATATTTTTATTCGAGTTATGGAAGCAGAATTATATGTAATGCTCTCTAAAACCCAGTTGCTCTGACAGGGTTTTATGGTATTTGAATTAATTAATTTTTCAAACAAAAGAAACACTAAAACTGTTTTCCATTTTCATTGTATTTTCTTTTTTCATTTTGTTTTTTTCCTTACGCATTTCCTTACGAATTTTTTTATTTTCTCTTTCTTGGTAAAGTGAATGCATTTTGACTTCATTACTTCTGTGAACGACTTTGAAGATTCTTTTGATTATTCGAATACTTTATGCACTCAATTTAATGCATAACACTATTGAACTGGAAATAGTGTTGAACTGGAAAATTAGAGCAGTTAATTCCCACAAGGAAGTGACAATGCGTATGACCACTTTTTTCCGTTAGATGGCGCAAATCACTTACTCATCTAAGCTTTTACTGAAGTTTTTTCTAGTGTATATGCGGCAACCGTACTAAAGAAGAGAATATTTATTAAGTGATTTCCGAAGTAATTCACGTAAACTGAAATATTTTATAAAGTTACGTAGATTGATTATGAAAATTTATTTTTATAAGTACCTGCCACTTAACATAAATCGAACTATAACAAAACACAAATAATAAAAATTTTCAAGTACGTAAAGGACATTTGTGAAAAATTGATAAACAAATTGAAATAAAAATATTGACGAATATTCTGAAAATACGCTGTCACGAGGTGCTTTTAACATCAATATTTCTTTCCAGCGTGCTAAGTAAAAATAGAGAACTCTCAAAAAAGGTTCAACTGCTGACTTATGCTAACAACTGCTAACGATTAGTTTTAATCATAATCAAATAATAATAATTAAATATTATGTTGATAGTAATAGCAATAGTAAAACAGATAATTTTCTGAAGTGAATTGTCTATATAGTTAAACAATTGCCTCAAAATTTTCCATGTGGTGCAATTAATGAGGCATTGTGCAATTTGAGTGATAAATCGAAATATGGTTATTGTTTAAGTATTACAATCTATATGTACTGAAGTGATATAAAACGTGATAAAACTGATATGTCCCTTCACAAAGTAAAAATTATATAAGACAGTGAAACATTTGTCGTGAAACTTATGTCGTATGTCTTCAGCAATTTGCAATATACTAATATACTTAAGTTTGAAGTTATGAGCAACTTTAACATATTCTTTTAAATAGTGGATTGTTATTAAGTTTATATTTTTATTTTAGAAATTTAGTTTATACATGCGCATATGCAATCCGTCCAAAAGGTCAATCGAAGTAAACACTTCCCACTACCTTGTTTTGAATAATTGTCTTTATTCCTGGCACCTGTCTAAATATTGCGTCATCTTTTATAATACTCATCGTCAATCGTAATAAAAGGAATAAGCTCAACAATATTGCATTATTCTAATTAAAACTTTCGAAGAATTTTAGTAATTAGAAAGACTAACTTTGGGGTTCAATTTAACAACGAAGGAAGTGAATGAAATGCAATTCTACTTTTTATTTGTTTAGCATTGTTCTTTCGATTTTTATTTTCTCACACAACTTCAGTTTTGTTCTTCTTTGTTCTTTGGACAAATGCCGCGCAAAAGTTTAATCATCCACACATTAGTAGCGTTTAAGAAAGCTCAGTTCTAATTTACAGATGTATGATTCAAATGTACCTTCAATAAATAGTCTAGTTGCAAGTAACAAATAAAAAGGCAAAGAAATTGTTACGTAAAAATACAAGTGAAAACTGCTTCAAACAAACTGTAAAAACCTGTAAAAACCTGTAAAAACCTGTAAAAACCTGCAAAAACCAATCCAACATCCAACAAATAATAATGTGATTCTTTTTTGAAATTATTAGTTCGAAATGTAAGGCAAAATCTCAATAAATAAATTTATTGAAAAAGATACTTAAAACAAACAAACTACTAACAACATAAAATAGACTCCATTTGTTCAAGAAAAATAAATGAAAAATTTTTATTAATTCAAAACACCAAAATACCACACAATACCAAAATTTAATTAATTAAGAACGGATTCAAACCTGATGACCGAGCTATAAAATACCAAGTACAACCAACAAAAATATATGAACCAGTAAACAAGGTTGGCAGGCATCCCTTACTACTTAATTGTTATGTTGTACATTTCTTTTAATTTTGTTCCTGAGTTGTAACAAACATGTCTTCGAATCATAGCTGGAGAACAAACAGGCACTATTCTATTTCAGACTTAGCCGTTTGCGGCTGACTTTTTAGAATGCATGCACTGGTTGTGTTTCTCAAATCCCTAGCTATGAAAAGTTACGTGACAACAGAAACGTAATTTGACATTTTGATATAATTCTGCTCTTACTTTGCCAATACTTTGTCAATTTCATTAAAACTCTTATTCAAAAATATATGGATTTATATTCAGTTCTTATTTGCAGATATGGCAAATATTATTTTAATCGCAAGTCTTGCTGTTCTTGGAATCATAATAGCAATATCACTGTTTTTAGCCGGTGGATACCTATGGTGGAGGCATAAACGATCTCAATTGCAGTTTATCGAGCCAAATGAAGATGAGGATTCGAGCAGTTATAGTTTACGGTAAATATTTTTCATTTCCAGCGTATTCTCTTGAATATTGTAACAGCACATACATTTTCACAAAAACCTTAAATTGGCTCTGTTACCTAACAGATTTATTTCAAATGAGATGAATATATTACATTTTAAACGGTTTGCTTTTGATTTTTCATAAGTAGTAATACTCTTAATTAAGCATGAATAAGCATAAAAGATGGTAAACCAACGTCTCAGATTGACCACATTTTATTGACCAATAAAGATCCTTAATACACAACACAGTCACTAATATAAATAACATTATATCCAAACAGTGACAACATCATCTGTCATAAAGTTGGTAAAATATACAAATCTTACCAATTTTATTAAACTTGAAGCACGTCTTCACAAGTTTAAAACCGTGGAAGACACAATTTAATATCTTTATTTATAATTATAAGTGCTTCATAAATATAATTAAGGTAACAAGGTTCTGCTTTGAATGGAGCAGTATTATTATCGTTGCCCAGGCAAACCCTATTAGCTATTATACAAATTTTAGTTTATTAACTTATTAAACACAGAAGGTGTTTAACTGATAAGCAATTCAACCGAACGATTAAACTTCGGTTTACAATTGGAATAAGTCTGTGTAACCATATCCTTTGGGTCTCAACAAGCATCAGTTTTAACTGTTGTCATTTTGATACATTTGATATATAACATTATCCGTTTTGATTACCAGAAAGAAATGCAAGTGAATTGAACTCAAATGCCTATCTTAACACTACTTACAGCTTACCTCAGTTAACTACTCAAGAGATACAGGATTCTGCAGTAACATCAATCAAACAACAAAATCAACAGCCGCAACAAACTTTTACAACGCCTCTACAAAATAATATAAACAGAAGGCTAAATGGGTTCTTAAACTTAAAAACCCCATTGATCGGGTACGTTATTAATAATTAATCTTCAGTATTGCTTTTATATAAATGATTTAATGCATGTTTATTATTTTTTTTTTTGTTTCAAATATTATGTAGTAGCCAACATAGGGCCAGTAAAATATTATTTTTAATTCATGTAACTCCAGGTTTTAAGTTTTCAAAACCTCCCTTCTCTCTCTAATAAGCGAAAAAACGTAGTAATGAAAAGCGGTATGAAACATCGAAACCATCAACTTTATTCAGTTTCAAATAGGTGATGAGCCCTAAAGCCATAATTATCAATTATATGTATAGTCCAAATTAGTCCAAATGCACAAAACGGAATATTCCTTATCGTCAACAATGCATTTATACTTAAAGAAAGAAGTTTTTATGAAAATATTACGACTTGTTGGATGCTGCATTTAATAGAATCAAATAATTAATAAACTAAAATATTGTACATACGCATATTAGCAAAAGGGTAACCTTTCTGTGCAGCAACCCTTAAAAATTAAACCATTTTCGCTGCACACTCGCAGAGCTTTTGGAGAGCTCTCTAACTCCAAAATGGCGAGAGTTCGTAGTCCGCATGTCCGCAAAACGCGCTCTCAACATGTAGAACTTGTAGAAAAATGGGCTTAATAGCTCATTTTAGTGTTAGTACTCTTGTAGATACATACATTCTTAAATTTATATAATGGCACAACACTACTGAAACTGAAAATACAATGCAGGCAGCAACAGTTAGTTTATCACTTCACATTTAGTACGATAAGCCCACCGATTTCATTAACTAGTACAAAAATCAATCAATCAGACTTAAACAAATAAAAACAATAAATAATAATAAAAATTGCATTTCTGTAAAATTATCATTTGAACATATCATTTAACTGTTGAACCAATTAATCACCATAAAACAAGGACCTCCTCATCACTAGGATAATGTGTACTTCTAAGTAAAAATATATTGGTATAAAAAAAATTGGTATAACCATTTACAACATAATGTGGGCTACAATGGCAAGATCATTCGAAATGATTATGGCTCTAATTGAATATTATGCAACAGCAACCACAACGGAAGCTGTTACTCTGAATAGGTAAGGCAAACAAGTATTAATGTGATAATCCTTCATCGGTAAAACAGATAAAATATATAAATATATTTTAAAGAAGTTTGTGAAAGTTTCATCAATATATTAAATGCTTAAATACTGTGCACATATGCCGGAAAAAATATAATCTAAGTACGTTTGCAGAATTAAGTTTTATAAATTCCTAATAATCTGTGCATCGTGAAGTTAACCCATTTCACCCACACGTCAATTTTATCTGTTATTTTATTATCAAAAACTTCCTGTGCAAATCCCTTCCAATAAGCTAAAAAAAATGCGGGACTAATTTGTATTTTACCTAGCAGATAGGATGATGTCTTATCAGACAGAGAAGTGGTCTCCGGTAAATCGGTTCATTTTACGTTAGTAAAGAGTTTACCTATACTGTTTAAATGGTATCTAAAGTCTTCTTTACCATTTAGAAATTATTTCGACAAACAATATACATATTTTTCACACAATGTGTACTAACATGCCGTAAAAAAAGTAAAAAATAGAAAAAAATATATAGATATTTTGTGGTATTTATATTATAGAACTTCTACGCAACCAGTTCAAAATAAACCACTTGGCAGCTCAAATGCAGGAATTGGTACCGAGAACATTAATTCCAAAGATGGCACGGTATTACTCTTTTGTAAATACTTTTAAGCATAAATAATGTACGTTTTTTTCGATTATTTTTATATAGAACAAAAGCATGTCCATGACGGATATGTACATTGATAATTCTGAGCCCAGCGAAAATGTCGGGCAAATACATTTTTCATTAGAATACGACTTTCAGAATACAACACTAATTCTTAAAGTGTTGCAGGGTAAAGAATTGCCTGCAAAGGATTTAAGTGGAACATCAGACCCGTATGTGAGGGTTACATTGCTACCAGATAAAAAGCATCGTTTGGAAACAAAAATTAAGAGACGAACTCTTAATCCGCGCTGGAACGAAACGTTTTACTTTGAAGGTTTTCCAATACAAAAGCTGCAGTCAAGGGTTAGTACAATAATTTAACAATATAAAACTAGCGTTTAATGCAAGTTCCAAACGTCTATTTAAGGTTCTGCACTTACACGTATTTGATTACGATAGATTCTCACGTGATGATTCGATTGGAGAAGTTTTTCTTCCATTATGTCAGGTCTGTAAAATATTGTACTGTATAACATGGGTTCAAAAATTACTTTTGCAATTATTAGTGTGCGTATTTTATAAATTTATTTTACATGATTAATACTCCCGATAAATATTAGTTTTTTCAAATGTAATCAGATTGAATGCAAATGCGTCTAGAAAATAAGTCAAAATCTGCCTCACCAAATTACAATCTCATTTACACTTTAAAAGGCTTTAACAGAAATAATATTTACAAAAATTGTTTTTGAAAGCAATACATTGGATTATATCTTTGATAGAATTTTCTTGGATTATACCAATTCAAATAAATATTTGTATCTGAAACACAACTCAACGGGAGTTCTATATTCAAATCTTAAACAGGGATAACTCAGGGATAAAATGGATGAATTTGACTGTTTAAACAGAACAAGAAAAAAATGTTTGATTAAAATATCACGTTTTGTTACAAATATCACAGCAAAGTATTAATAGCCTTTCCAGTATATATGGTATATAGGAATTAAATATATTGGTAAGTATTGGGTAAAGAGTTAGCCAGTAGAACTGTAGAAGTGCTGCAGATATTATGCTTAAAAAAGATACATATAAATATAAGCAGTTGTTTCCGGATTTCTTATAAGAAAATACAGAAATACACAAATGTTTAATTAATATTTAAGATATTTCATTTTGAATAAGAAATTAATCAATTTATTTTTTTTTATCACATATTCATTAATTAAAAGCTCAATATCTTATGTTTATTCCTGCATATTTTTTTTATTTATTGCAAATGGTGCATATCACAGCTAAAAAACAATATCGAATACGTAATAATATTATAAAGCACAGCTAATAAAATTTAGATTATAATAAAGATTTTATGCATTATTCTTAAAGTTAAGAAATAAGAGCTATTTGGCTTTTGCCGTTCGATCAAATTTTTATTATTTCATATGACCACTTTGGATGTAAAGCCCTATCACATAGAACAGATTGCCAAAGTGAGATATTATAAGCAATTTGATATAATTAATATATTAGATTTAGATTAAAGGAATTACAAAATTAGTACACAAACTCTTCTGGTATAAGCCATGCCCATAAACAAAGATAGATTTTTGAATGAAACTTATAAATTCCTTATCAAAAACTTGAAATTGCCAATTCAAATCTTATATATTGATTTAGAAATTCAATAAAGGTTTCAAAAAATATTGTTTACTGTACTGAAAGGGTCGTGCAATCGTGAAATTTACTCCAAATCAATATACACTATTCTTTTCTTAGACTTCTTTAAATGTTTTTGTAATTTTATATGTATTATATAGAACGGCTAATGAAAATTGTAACAAAGTAAAACGCTCTATTTTGTTTGTTCTTGTTAAATTTAATGAAAGATAAATGAAAATATGCGAAAAGAATTTTAAATTTTTAAGTTAATTTATTTTGATTTAATATGGCCACCTCCGCCGGTCTACAGCATTGCCATCGGTGGAACGTGTTTTCTGGTAGCCAATGCTTAAATGTTCAACTAACCTCTCTGACAAGTAAACACGATCATTTTGCTTGTTTACGTACAACTCAATTTCAAATGGTGACTCATTACATAATACCTAATTCGGCAACCCACCACTTTCGACCAAACGAACCAACATTTGACTCTTTCGACTCTAACTTCTTTTTGTTCGTTGGTAAGATCATGGACTTTGTTTAACTTCAATGGATTTAGTTCGCGCTTTATTTTATAAATGTGTTCCATCCTTTCTCGTGATATGCTCAGCCCTTTTGCCACTTCATTGCAGCTATGGCGTGGATTTCGTTCAATTCGGTTCTTTACTTTACGAATCATTTCTGGTGTAGTTACTGTTTTTTTTTCTTGGTCCACTTCCTGGGCGTCGGGCAAAGCTACCAGTATCACGGTATCGAGCTAGGTGTTGGAGGGATCAAACGACAGCTACTTGTATTTTTCCAGCCAAAAACAAAGCAATCACACCATCACGTTTGAACTCCATCACATTCAACTTCTTTTCTACAACACAAAAATCAAAACACTTTCGTACGCTTGTAAACAAGACAATGAACTGTCAAATGAATTGATTTTGAGTTATCTGTCATTATTGGTTTAACAGCTACATCGGTGCGAAATTTGTTGCAATTTTCGTCAGCCACCCTGTATACACAAATATATTTATAATAAACTAACTCATTTATTTTTGCTTATAAAAATTTCCTTAAAGAACACTTAATGGCCGCAGAATTTTAATTATTGCCTAATTACTCGTAATCAGGATTTTGAGTGCGATTTTGCGTATTCTTTCATGTTGTTACAATACCAATTGAAGTTATATTCAGATTCCATACAAATATCTGGCAGTTAATATTAAGACTGAATTGTAACTTTTACAAAATTGTAGTTAACCAAACTACAAACAAAAAATTAAGAAGAAAATAAAAATAAAATTAACATTTGCTGTCTGAAAAGGTATTTAGCGAAGTTAGCTTACCAAACAATATTACAAGCAAAATTACTAATATTTGTGCTTCATAAATAGGCTATTACACTTCTGGAATAGTCCCGATGCCCGCATATGTCGGGAAACCAGTGTCCTTGTTTGTTAACAACAAAAATGAAACTGTGCGCAAACAGTATATCTAGCTCCATGTAGATTAATTTATCATGTGGATTAAATTCGTTATCCATATTGTGAAGTCCGTTCCAATGGCAGATTTATTATTGCCGATAATTGTATTATAGTCCATCTTCAGGATACTGAATTTAATTAAATATTAAGTATATAGAACACAGAAATAATTATGCAATATAATAAAAATTAAACGGCAAATACATATTTAATATTTTTATACAGGAATTATATATTTATTCTTTTCTCGGTTTGTTGAATGTGTTTTTATATACTTTAACACAGTTTAGTATATCCGCAGTTTGTAAAACAGAAAGCATATCCAAAGAAACAACTTTTATGTTGATCATTTTCTTGATATATCTTTTATGTTTCCAAATCCGGCTTGTGTTTGGATTCGAGTTTATTGAATAATATATGAAAAGTGTTTAAGTTTTCGTCCCTAATTGAAATGAACAATTTAAAATTTTATTCTCATGTTTTTCGATTCTCGATACTTTATTACGCTCAGACCCTCAACATATCTATTTACGGAGGATGTTCTATTTTTAATTGAGATCACAGTTCGGTTACTTTTATTTTGAAAAACAAAAAATAGTCATTGGAGGCTAAATCATGTGAATAAGGAATTTCTTTTAGTTTATTCAGAAATGTTCTTGAGCTTCAACTATTGTCTGTCTCAGCAACAACGACTTCTCATCCGAAAATTTTTGCGGTTGGCAACACAATTTTTGACTTTTCAAAGCTCAGTTACATTTATCAAACCCCTATTTTTATTGTTCTTGATCTTCAGGTTATAGTGGTAGATCCATCTTTCATCAACAATTATAAATTTACGAAAAAACTTTACACAGAATCTCCGTAAACTCATTTAAATCGATTAAAATCTAGAACGGCATATTATTTTTAAAACTCAAGTCTTTAATCGAAATACCACACCCGTTCATTTGTTAAACTCTTTTTAAGTTTACTTATTTTCAAAAATTATTTGCATTTTATTTTTGTACACAGTGGCAACGTGTACAGGATTTAGTATATCCTGAAATAATTATCGAATTGGCAACGTTCTATTTTTTTAATATATTTTATTTCAAATAGCCACCTAACAGTAAATTGTTCGTATACAAGTAAGATGTCAGTATGAGATATATGGAGTGGGACTGTGTTCCGAATGAAAAGAGAGTAGTAAAATTAGTTAATTGTAATTAGTTATATGTAATGAAAAATCTATAAATATTTAGATTAAGTAAATAATAAGTTAATAATAGAAGCGTCGATGAAAAGAACTGAAATATAATCACTGAAAAAAAACTCTTTCTCAGGTCGATTTCGCTGGTAAGCAGTCATTTTGGAAAGCTCTTAAGCCCCCAGCTAAAGACAAATGTGGTGAATTGCTTTCTTCGTTGTGCTATCATCCATCAAATTCAGTTTTAACATTAACATTGATCAAAGCAAGAAACCTTAAAGCAAAAGATATAAATGGAAAATCAGGTATGGAAGATGTGTTCTAGAGAATTTTATAGGTTACGTGTACTCGTAAGTTTATAACTTTATCTCAATTAAAAAGACTGAAACAATTTATTCGGTATACAAAAAAAAAAATAAATATATGCTATCGGCATGAAAATATTTATTTATAATTGCTAATGACAACTTAAAATCGGTGGTCTCGAATTTAATCCCAATTATAAACAGCCATATTAAAAGTATTATAAAAACAATAGCTATAGATAAAACCGAATCCGTCAATCCTTTCAGATCCATACGTAAAGGTTTGGCTACAATTTGGCGATAAACGTGTGGAAAAGCGAAAGACACCAATATTCACATGCACATTAAATCCAGTCTTTAACGAGTCATTTAGTTTCAATGTTCCATGGGAGAAGATTCGTGAATGCTCATTAGATGTTATGGTAATGGATTTTGATAATATTGGACGAAATGAGTTAATTGGAAGAATTTTATTGGCGGGTGAGTAATTGTGCACTTAAGGTGTAAATAAATCGGAGCTTTTGTCAAAATTATACTTTTCAAACAAATTTTTTAATATATTGATTGTATTGTACAATACAACATAGGCCAAAAAATTTCTTTTATCAGTATCCGATCCTTTTATGGATTTTGTTTTTTCAAATTTTGTCAAAGAATAATAGTTATAACGACAATATAAAATCAAAACCGGAAATCTTCGTAATAGTTGCAAGTTTTTTAATCAAAAAACTCAGTAAATTTTTTTTTTTTTGTGTTAAAATCGCAATCGCATTTTTACACAACGATTTAAAAGTCCTTATTAAGATATTTTCCTACAAGCAGAAGATAGTCCATTTAATAATGAATTTGTATGGTATGACACGATATTTTCACAGTATAACTTAAAACACTGAAACAATAGATCATTATTTAGTTCCTTGATCCCACACCGGAAATAAATTTTAGGAATGCATTTATGGGATAACGATTTTAAAAATGCCACTAAATTATGTCAGATTCTTACGTAGAAACAAAGAATTTTTAAAACTATTAAGTTAGTCAACACTAAAACCTAGCGCAGAAAAAATTATCCCTAACTCGATATACCAGGACTAACTGCAGGAGTACGTAAGAACCAACAAAAGCAAGTGGAATAGTAAAAACACTTGATCAACCTAAAAAGTACGTAATGTTCTAATATTTGAATTTATTATTACTGGTTATATTATAATGTAATTATTAATTAAAAAAGTCTAAGTTTATTTCAACTCTAATGACAGTAGTTCAGTCGGCGAAACACTTCTGAAGAACAGTTTTGAGTTTTGAATTCCTAAAACTTATTAAATTTCGCTTAATAAAGTTTTTCCAAAATATATATATTTTTTTCATTTTTGTAATATTATTTGTAATCTATCATTATAAGATAATGATCAAATTTAAAGTGTTTACTATTTTTTTTTTAACTTGTTTTTTAAATATAAAATGGTTGAACAGTAATCAATTACAATAAATTTGTTGTTTTTTAATTGATTGAATTTTTTTTTCAAATATTGTCAAATACCCACCACAGCGATCTTTGAAAATATTCAAAAAAATAAAACAAGTCAAATATCAATAATTGAATCAAAAAAAGTAATTTCAATGACCAATAATTGCTATATTTAGCAATTCATGAAACAGCTATAAGGTCGGTCAGAAATTCACATTAAGTAAAAATGAAGGACTAATTATTATATTACTTGGATTCCTACCTACATCATAAGTTTCTTATCTGATTCGCAGACAACAAAATATTATTTAATAATATAGAATAGAAACCAGTGACAGGTTAGTGTTTCGGACTACATTCTGACATTAGAGTTGAGTCAAGCATTATACGCATGTAATATAATCTGAACTTTGCATTTAGTCTATATTGTCTTAAATTTGAAATTCTTACGATCTCATAGTGTCAAAATATTGTCACATATTCTATGGTTACCATAAAGAGCCAAGTTCCAACTTTCAATCTCCGGTTACAGAACACTTTAATTTAAAAGTTTTGTAGCTGAAAGTTTGAAACTAAATATGAATAATTTAATGAAAAGCGATATTATACATATACACATTTTTACATATTTAAATTATTTTATACATCCATTTGTCACCGCTAATGCAATAAACTTTAATGATCATATCTACGTCTTCATAATCATTTCATCGCATTTTCTTACATTCAAAACAGGAAAAAATGGATCAGGAGCATCAGAAACTAAGCATTGGCAGGATATGATTTCCAAACCTCGTCAAACCATTGTACAATGGCACCGTTTAAAGCCAGAATAAATACAGTATTCAACTGTGTCAACAGAAAGGATATATGTATGTATATGTGCATATATATAAAGACATATATATGTACATTGACGAATAGCATATACATATAATGAAATGCATGAAAGCGACATTTATAATATAATTTTTCGAAATATATATATATATATATTATATATATATTTACATGCATATATATATATATATATATATAGTATATATATATATATATATATTTACATGCATATATATATGCAGTTATGCATCGCAAGAACTACTATATAAGAGTACTCATAAGAGCATTTACATATTCTGATTATTATGTTATATGTATACATACAACATAATAATATATGCTACCATATTTATGTATATATACTTAATCGTATGTATACATATAGTATGTTGTTCTGTAAACTCTTAAAGTCGATAAATTTACAGGAAAGATCATAATTCTTAGATCCAGTTTATGGCTTTTAAACGGATGCAAGCTAACTCAAATACACAAAATATAAAAGCAAAAATATTCATATCCTTATATACATGAAAGTGTTTGTATGCATATATTAGCATATACTTATATATGTACGTACATAAAAAAATCACGTGCCAATTTGTTAAATTGTTTAAAATTTAAGGAAATATTTTCTTGTGCATATTCAATAGCATTATGGTTCTCCAGAATACAAAGAACAGTGCCGGTCGAAAAATAAAATATTTTCTATTAATTTACACGCGCTTATTTTGCTCCTATTTTTATAAAATTTTTGATAATGGGGAGTAATGTTAGAACACAACACACTTTGTATACGTTTTTTAATTTTTTTAAACTTTATCAAAAAAGAACCTATGCACACAGCACAAGTCATTGTAATCTTGATTGTAAGAATGCTTGTTTGGCTCGCTGACTGTTGGATTTGTGTTCGGAACAGTGGTGTGATTTAAAGTAGACTTTATACCAAAGTGAGTTAAACGAGCCGAACAAACAAAATTGCAATCAAAACTGTGATGTGTAAATTGGCTATAAAAAAAAATCAAAGTTCCAACTGAATTTCCCATTTTAACATTAATAAAACTTAGTCATTTGAATAATGTAATGTCACTCACAAAAAAGTTCGTTTCTCGTTTGCTTTACGTTTATTTTGTAAAATTCATAAAACGATAATTTCGTTTTCAATTTCCTTAAAAAAAATTTATAAAGTCACAATAAATTGGAGTTATTGAAGCAAAGTTTTTAACGTCAACTGTACACAAAAAGGATTTACATACACATAGTTTAATAATCGATACAAAGTTTAAGATATATACTACTTTAAATATTAGGAAAACTACAATAACGTAACCACACTATTTTTCATATATACTGAGCAGCATAGCATAATAAGTGACAGCATAAGATGAACATGTCCAGTTGCAATGACACTAAAGTGTCACGAAACTACCTGAATTAATGTAAACCACACACAAAGGAGAAAATTTTCACAAGAAGATGGTAACACTTATCAAACTTTATCCATATGTAGCTTATCCATATAAACCTGTTTTCTCATTAATTTGTATATAAACAACCATGCAATTTAATCAATAGGGATATTCACTCTGTTTTGCTCATTGCAAGGTGCACGAAATGCACAGATTGTGCGAGCTTGTAATCGACAACAACAAAATACACGCACAATGTTTCTTGCAATTTCCATGCTGTACCAAAATCCATGTACATATATGTATGTATATGCTCACAACTAAACAAAAATGAAAAAAAAACAGCTGTTTTGACTTCTGTTGCTTCTCATGTAGATGTAGTATGCTGCAAAAACAGCTGTTTCATTTTGATGTTGCAATTCTGCAACAGAGGTCTTCTAGCACTCTTGTAATTTTAGTGTAGCAATCTTGCATTTCGTGCACCTTGCAATGACTTTGCAAGAGAGGGTGAATACCCCTTATGATTTACCACTTTTGAAGTAGACTTAGCTTCAAATACATTTATGGACGTGTGCGAGTTAGGTTAAGTTGATGCTAAACCAAATGGGGCTTTTCTTGGGATTTTTTGCACTGCACACATTTAGACATTTATCAACACGTATCGACACATCACTATATTATCGACACAATTTAGAATTTCCCTTATTTAGAACGCAACTTAGCCTAACTCGCACACGACCTATGTTCATTAAACATAGCTACTTTCTAAAATACAAGCAAAAAAAGCTGTGGAAATCAAAACACATCGGGAACAAATGAAATAGTTTGAAATTTTTGAATAGCAAAATTCAATGACAATAATGATTTTTGCATTGCAAATATTTTAGAGTTGTTCCTACTCTAGTTCAACGCTATTGTATATGCAGTACATATGCAGTAATGCAATTATAAATGAAGCAAAACATTAGACCGTAAAAACCTGGATCGTAAGTAATGTATGTATGGGCACCAATTTTCAATTATTTCTCTCCATTGTTTTAATATTTTGGATCCTCTTCTTTTTAAAGAGAATAAGCATATACTGCATGACAAAAGAGACCAAATAGTAATATATTTTCATTTTCATTCTCTTTATAGATTTGTAGATTTAAAAAAAATTTCTTTCTTTCGTCAAGTTATTAAAGCCATTTTTCCTTTTAACTGCATAATTTAAACAACGGTTATCATTTTATTCATATTCAAGTTTTTTCTTTAGCTTTTATGTATTCACTAAATACTTTTCTCAAGTTTTTTACATTGTTCTTAGGACTAGTGCGAGTTAGGCTAAGGTCGTGTGCGAGTTAGGCTAAGTTGCGTTCTAAATGAGGGAAATTCTAAGTTGTGCCGATAATGTAGTGATGTGTCGATACGTGTTGATAAATGGCAAAATGTGTGCAGTGTAAAAAATCCCAAAAAATCTCCCATTTGGTTTAGCATCAACTTAGCCTAACTCGCACACGTTCTTAGATATTCCAACTTTTTAAGCGGGTACGAATTCTTGCTTTTTTCATGTCGAGTCCACTCGTAATTAAAAGAGGTTAATGTTTTTAACTTCATTTTCTGCTTTTCCACGCGGGTTGTTGTTTTCTTGCTAAGAACACTTTAAAGGAAGGAAGTTATTTAAAGTAGCACTTAGTTATGCATATAATAATATATTTTTAAATTTTTTTAAGCGGATACAATCCACAATTCTTTTAACGAGGACGCACTTAGCTATTGGATGTTCTTTCATGTTTATGTTTAATTTTTATATGTATTATTTTAGTTTGTCCCCATTTAATGCCTTTTACTTGTAAATAAAAGGCGGTGATTTAAAAAGAAACATTAAAAAATGAATAATGAATAATAAAAGTGTGCAGATTAAATATGTTTAACGTATTATTAAATACGTTAGAGCTTTCTGTTACATTCAAATGTACAAACCTATTGCGAAAGAAACTAGGTGTACCACACAAGATAGCTTGTCTGTTAAATATATATTTTAAAAATCATGGAAATAGAAACTGAGAAATGCTTTTGAGAAAGTATTGGAAGATTCTATAAATGTTTAAAGAACTACTCACAATTAGCTATTTAATTAATTGAATGAAGTTAAGTCCATAGAGAATTGATGTTAAACTCCAAAATGTTGAAAAGTACTACTATTGTTATATTAAATTTAGACTCAGTACTTTTCTTGCCTTGAAAAATCTAGTAATATAGTAAAAAATATTTGATCTACAAACTATAAAAATTAAAGCATGCAAAACTAAATAACAATCCGTGCAATATGGGAAGGAATAACCCTTGCCTCCCTCTTTTGCTTCATTTTTCTTCATTAATGTATATATATATATATCTCTGTACAATTCTTAGGATTTATCGATTCTTTAACTGCACTATAATCTGCTAATTTAACTGTATATTTATATGCCAAATATTCATCAAGTAATCAATTGATGTTTTTTTTTTTTGATTTATTTATTTTGTTTTGTCAATATTACGCGAAAGTATATGTGAAGCCACAAGAGAGCGGTTAATAACTGTCAAGGAACAAAAAAATTTTAAATTTGACAATTTTTTGTTCAAATATGTTTATTTCATATCACTTTGTAAACAATTCATTGAATTTCTTTATAATATAGACAAGTTGGCATTTTTTTAATAACAAATGTTATATAATAATGTTAAAGTATTATTAAACAAATTTAATAGAAATTTTACTCACTTCGGCATTTCCAAATTTTCAATGTTTGTTTTGAATAGATTTTGACATTTCTTTTTCAATTCTTCTAAGATCGTAAAAAAGTCTACGATATTAAGACATTTGAGTTGCACAGAAAAATAATCACCATATCTAAAGAGATTTAAAATTAATCTCAACCAAAACGAGATTAACTTTTGTATGAGATATATGTGATTAAACAACTAGATTTATACTTTAATCTCCATGATTGTTTTAATCTAATTTTAATCTCACTATATAAACGCGATATGACATTCTTCACAATCAATAGCTCGCATTAAAATGACATTCATATATCCAAAAAAGTTTTGAGCGACATCTCCTAAAACGCACAGCCTAAAAGCAATAAAACGGACAATACCAAAAGACCCTTTGTTAATATTATGCTTTGTATGCTCAATATTACAAAAAATAAACATATATATGTATATATTGATAGTCATTATTAAAGGTAATATATAAGTTTAGATTTCAAACATTTTCAATCAAGTTAAAACTTCAAATAGTAACGAGTTTTATCGGAGTTGTATTATTGGGTGAATTCAGATATTTTAATTTATTAGAAGTAGGTAAAATAAATTACTACAAAATACATGCATTCATTCAGCACTTTTAAATTTGTTTGCGTTATCAGCTGATATTTCAACTGCGTTAGCAAAGCATTCAGTAAAATACATGCATTCATTCAGCACTTTTAAATTTGTTTGCGTTATCAGCTGATATCTCAACTGCGGTAGCAAAGCATTCAGCAAACATTGAGCAATGAGCAACTAGCTATTGCCCTTGCTGCCATTAGCAGAAGCTTCTGAATGCACCCAATACTTTT